ACTCGAATCGATAAAGGAGATGTTAAAGAAGCCTGCGAGGTAAGAGCTGAACAAGTTTGATGTTTAACTCATAATGCGCGGCAAGGCTCAACTCCGCATCTGGGATAACAAGGCTTATCATCAAGCAATATTAAACAAAAAAATTTAATTAAGGCTTGCGAACTTGTCCTCAAGAACACACAAAATAAGAGGTATCAAATTTTGGGTCACAATTTTCAATGACTTAGTTGAGCAGCAACAGTGTAATGTCTTATTCACCTTTGGATCAAGGCGACGCACATTCGCCATTTTTCCGCCTTGGATTCATCTATTCAACGGAGTTGAATACATGAATTCAAAGAGACGGAGAAACATCGTACTTTGGCTTGGCCCGAAGGCCAGCCAACGCGTACAAGGGTAAGCCGGATACCAAAGTAATCAGTGTTCACATGAAACAAGTGTCACATCTCGTCTCTCTTCTTTTGCGCGGCGACCTCGGCGCTTTCTCAATACCCTTCCACCGCCAACCATAACATATTCGTTGATACTAGGAAACACCAACGAGCCAGCCACTCTGGCCATCCACTGTCGCGACACTGAGGGACTGCACTTGACCTTCTCAAAAGTTATAACTACATCTAAAGTTACACCCAGTCTGGCAACAAGAATGGTTGCGGGGACTTTATACTGATGTTAATCGTGTTCAGGGCCAGAAAATGGTATGCTGGTCGAGAAAAGATACTTAAGAGAGGAGATGGGACCAAACAGAGACCTAGGTGAAAGAGACTTTAGCGTAATGCCATAGTTGCGGTCTATAGGCGCATGCTAAGAAGGATTTCAAAAGAATACTTTCCAGTTGGTTCACAGCGGTTTTGCTACAATTGTTAATGGCTTACCTGTATGGAATGGGAATAGAATGAAGCTAATGGAAGGCATCGTTATCAGCTCTTTCATTGTGAAAAATGTAGGGATTTTATTTGCTTGAAGTACATGTGCTTCCTTTGTACCACAGAAGTAAATAACGAATGGAGGACAACAAAATGGAAGGCGCAAGAAGGTCGGATTTGCTAATCGCTACCATTAGCGTAGATGCATGGTTTTTGGCTAAAAATTGCTGCAAAATAACGGCCCTGCGAACGCTAAAACACAGTGTCAAAGCAAAGACATTAACGGATTGATTCTGATTAAATAACTAAACCAGTTTTTAATGCTTGTTTACCAAATACAGTCGCCATACCAAATTTTCAAAGCATTGCTTTATTTACGGCCCAAATTAACACCTTGACAATGGCGCAGAATGTTTTTATTCGACTGTCTGATAGTGTGGTGGTGAGTTTAGCTTCCATGCTAAACCAATACCTAAATTATTCGCCACACACAAATACTCAGTCAAAGCCCAAGACATTCTCGGTCAAATAAAAGTTTCCAAAAGGGTTCGGAAAGGTGTTTCGAGAGGAAGAGAAAAAATAATACCATGGGCAGCCTAAGCAGGCGAAGGCAAAGCGAATGCCCAAAGCAGTCGCTAAGCATGAGGTGACCACATCTACCATCGTCTAATGCAAAGCTCTAATACATTATTTCCGGAAATATTTAGCGCGAGAGTAACCCTAACGAGGCTTTCATACGGCTTACTATTTGTGACACTAGTAAAGTCTGAGTAACCGAAAATGGTAGTTTATTTAGTCGCTTTATTTGTAGCGTCCCGAGACTTCATAGGGTGGGAGAGGGCATAAGTGAGGTTGAATACATGTATCCCGAAGACGACAGGGCAAATGGGCCTGAGCATGACCCAAAAACCAGTCCACATGTACAAGGACCAAACATATACTATAGTGACCGTCAAACGCAGGTAGTCACATAAACAAAGCAATACACTATTTAAAAGGATTTGGAGCTAACAATACTAAGAAAAAACAAAAAACCTCTATTTGACTAATGCTTTTTAACAAAATTTCCATGGAGAGGAACTGCTTTCTATTACTTAAGCTGCAGTCGCCCTGTTATAAATATTAGTCTTTTAACAGAATTATAATGCTTTTTCGATTCAATGCATTTCAACCGTAAATATCATTGGATTTGTCCTTTTGGTACTTGAAAAACTCGAGGTCATACGGGGTGCTTTCGGTCATCCTTGGGTTGTTCATAATGAAAGATGATGCAAGTGATCAATCCATATCCTTTGCTACGGGTGGCTTTGACCATATTATACGTATGTGGCAGCCAAGTACTGGAAGATATATTCAGGGATTCGACCATAATGATTCTCAAGTATGTTGGTACGGTTTTTTGCTGCTATTTTATGTAATATACGCGATTCCACTTTTAGTGCTTACTGTTGCAGTTTCATTCCTTCTCCTTCTGAAAATAGATTTTTGCACTTTTTATACATTTTGTATGTTGCTTGACTAATTCTCCGTCTTAGGTGAATTCATTGGCGTTCACGTATGATGGTCATTATTTGGCAGCGGCCGGGTTTAAAAAAATTCGAATTTACGATGTATTCGGTGGTGCGACTCCCTTAACTGTTCTCACGGAATTTTCAAAAAATGTAAATGCTATTGGTCACGATGCGAGGGGAAGATGGACCTACGCGGGAGGCGAAGACAAAGTTGCGAAAATATTCGATTGGCGAAGTTCTAACCATAGTGCGCAGTCTGCCTCCGGAACATGTTACGTTAGCATTTAGTCCGCTAATATTTTAATTATGTTTATCAGCGTTTAGGCATTTACGCGTACCTACTTCATGTGTTTCGTTTTTTCCCACCCTCCTTCCTCTTCATCCTTTCACGTCGCTTCTGTTTTCATTAGAGTTCATCAAGCATAAACTCAATGGTTCTCCATCCAAACCAAATCGAAATACTCTTCAGCAATGACAAGGGAGAAATCTATGCTTGGGATTTGCGAAATGGGCAAGTCAGTGTCATATGTCCCGACCTGCGTGCTGGACCAATCCATTCAATTTCGATCAGCGCTGAGGGCACATCCTTGGCTGCGGTAAACGCTTCTGGCTCTGTCATTGTTTGGTCACTTGCTGGCAACATGGTTTTTAAACCCAGTGAAAAGGTGCGATTGTCTCCAAAAGTCCGGTATATGTCATGGCTTCGTCTCCAACTCGTCAATACTTCGACATTCGTTTTAGCACAACTCGAAAATACACAGCTCTTATGCACTAAAGTGTGAGTTTTCGCCAGACAGTACTCTCCTTGCTACCTGTGGCGCCGACGGGAAAGTGAACTTAGTGCGGACGGCCGATTGCAGTGTGACCAGTGTTTTGCGACCCAGCGAGGATCGCTACTGGGCGTGGGATTGCGCCTTCTCTGCAGATTCGCGCTATCTTATTTCTGCACATTCTGATGGTATTGCACGGCTCTGGAACCTCGAGGATTCCCAACAACGAGGGCAATTCCTAGGTGGCACTACCACGGAACCTCGACTGGAGTATAAAGGGCATCAACGAGCCATCACCTGCATCGCCTTTCGTGATCAATCTCTTGCTGGCTCTACTGTCTAGCGTCTCTTGCCCATCGGGCCTCCACTTGTAGATACAGCCAACCTTTCCCTCCGCACTCACTTGTATTTTGAGCTCGAGAGATTTCAACATTTTGGGTAACACGTCTCCGAGCACATGTGCTATTACGGTCGATAATTTCATACTTGATGGAAGGCGGTACAATAAATGCCCGCCCCAATGCAAGATCCTGTAAATCTACCCTGTATATGGTGCGCTGGCTAACTTCGACGTTGCATGGTGGGGGAATTAGGCGCTCCCTTCTCCACGAGGGATTTATAGGTAGCGTTATCTACTAGATTGTGATTTTCAAGGCTAGTTCTACGAGCAAGACATGACCTTCGCTTTAATTGTCCTATTATGGGCAGTAACTTAAGTCAAGTGTAGATCGAGGTACTTTCCACGATTTTCAGTTGCATTCCAAAGGGAGTTGGCACCGGGAAATGATGTATTTTTATAATTCTCTGAGTAGGGTTGTGTATCCCAGTTGGGGCCTGCATGTAAGACCCCTTGTGGTAGATTACGGTCCACAATTAAATTTGTAATGGATTGAAATCTCGTTTCACGTACAGAAGCCAGATACAAATGTCGTGAATAAAATCAACTCGTATCATTTTGATTAGTAAAAGTTGTACAAATTGAACAAAATACAATGTGATGAATTCCTCAAAATAATAAGGGGGAACAAGGTCCTTCGGTAAATGATGCAAATGGGCACAATTTAAGAGGGGGAGCTGAATTAAAGTCACAAAGTTAACTCTATGCGTCGGGGGAGAGGCGCTTGGTTTCTATATCCCAGTTTACAGACAGGTGGGGCGAACGCTCGGAAGGTTGGAAGCAAACCATATTACCTTGCTCCTCTTCTGATACCAGTGGCAATCCATCACTGGTCTCGAACGCAGGATTGTCTACCCATCAAAAATAGATGAGACCTCTTTCGTTTGCATATATCCGGTCGGATAGATTAAGAGGAAAATCTTTACGTGGTCAGCTGCCCAAGGATGACTTCAAGCAGTAATTATCATAGCGTGGATGCAAGATGTGAAGATGTGACACATGTGATTGACAACCCACTCCCCACCGGTACTTTTTTCAGAAAAATAGGAGTTCTGCTTCAGAATGTTCATATTGCCCAATTGAATAGTTGGAAGAATAGTCATCACAAACCAATGTCATCATAATGATAGGGAATAGGTTTGCCAATCTTGAATAAATGTAATAATCAATTTCGGTACGGAGTATTGATTTATCGTTAGCACATTCATTTCAGTGTTAACTTCGAAAGTGTTTCATAAAAAACGAGTTGTGTGCATGAATTAGTTTGAGAGAGCCACTGCGTAAGGCGCAAACGACTGAGGTGACAGGAGCGGAAATAAACACTCGCACACGAAACCAATGCTGCATTACGTTGAATAACAGCAACGGCAAAAAACCATTAGGTGGGGAAAAGTGGAAGTATGGGGCTATCACCATAAGCAAACACCCAAATCATGCTTTTAAAGAAAAGTTTGCATATTCGCTCCCTACTATCACTCATTTTCGTGAAGATCGAAACACAAAATACATCGATAACACCAGTCATTTGCACTGGAGTTTGATCCTACACAAGCAAAAAACAGGTGTTGTAACTGTTCAGAGAGATCCATCACAGAATTAATGAAAGGTGAAAAGCGCTAGGCATTTGGACGGCATGAACCAGTTCTAAATACGAATCGACAATACTGTCTAAATAGTCCTCGGGGAATGAAAGATAAAGCCAAAAGACAAAATATGCCTTGATACGTACAGTCGCAAAAAACGTGAACAATAGTAGCAACGAAGTCCTGAAACCTTTAAGAATAGAGCTCCAATATCCGCAATTATGGGGCATAATCTGAGCATGGGATCACAAATGAAAAATTTTAATATGAATTACAATGATAACACTTGACAAATACAAATAATATTTATAAGAAGAATGGTGCGAAAACTCGATGTTCATCTATTCGATGTATTTGTGATTAGGATTTACTGCTGCGAATCCGACAGTCGGCCTTAATAGAATGATGTTTCCCCTAACGAAAGTTGAAAATAATCGAGTTGGAACGTGGCCTGGATAACTAGAATTGAGCCGCGACAATCATATGGTAGCTTGATTTGTTGTTGTTTCTGTGGGTAACTCACTTAAATAACAAGGAACGTAAAAGAGACGTGCATAAAATGAACAGCAGAAAATATTTAGCAAGATGGTGACAATAACAAATATACCTGACTTCTCCACAATTAATAACAATTAGGTCCCACTAAAGTGGGAAGCACAATGGTGCAGTAGATGCCAACAAAAGGGGTTCCATTGGTAGCAATGAACTGTTGAAGCAGTAATATAAATCGAGCAGGGAGATTGAAAGTGTGTGAAAACCTCAACAACGCCAATAATGCCCCAAGAACAACACTTCGCTACAACCCAGGTATTATCAGAGGAAATGAGAAGCTAAACTTGACGCCAAAACTTAGACAGTAGAGGAAATTATTTAGTATAGGTGACCTTGGCTCAGCGCTTGGTGGACGGAAGTGAACGCAAACATTGAAATCCAACCTACAGCCCTAAGCAGCGCTGGGAAGGTGTGAAATTAAGAGTAAACAAGATCCATGAAGGGCAATAATGAAGAGCTTCAGAACTAAGACAGGAGGGGTACACACAACTTACCATTTCCAAGCCAGGTGGTACCACGAGAGGGCAAAATACCCCCAGATAACCATGGTGCCACAGGCGCAGACCTACTTAAAAGGGGAGCGACATCATCATTGTCATCGTATTCGGCATCAAAATCGCCTAAGACAGTATCTGAATTATCCAGAGGAGCCGAATGTGCAGCCTCTGCAAACTCAGTGGAGGAGCTAATGGTAGCTAAGTGCTGAGCATTCGGAAGATCGGCAATACCCTCGGTCGCTCCACCTTCGTAATCCCCATCTTCCTCATCAGCACGATTATCTTCATTGTCGGTTTCAGGATCATCATGGTTGCGATGAATACGATATTTACATACCGGGCAGGAGCCTTGTCGGCGAAGAAGCCAGCGATCAACACACCTGCTATGATAGGCTAAAAATAAATTACGAAGCGTCGAAAAGGGAGTTCTCGAGCCAAAACAAATCTTTTTTCTTGAACCGCAAATTATGGCTAATGATAGAGCAATAATCTGGGGAGAAAACTGCTGATCAAAATCGACCGTTAGTCGTAAATGTACATAAAATAAACCTCATGACAGAACTAAAAAACTCCCTTAGCTGAACATAAGACACTGAGGTTGGCCCCAAAAAATACCTACCATGATGACAAGGCAATACTCTTAATTTGTCGCCCATGGCATAGTCTTCCAAACAAATGGCACACGTTTCATAGAGGTTTCGATAATCTAAAGGAAGAAAAAAAATTTAGATATTAAAGTCAGTTGGAGTACCAGAGCACTGTAGCAAAGAAATGACCAAATGAACTAACCATCCGAGAAACGAATTTCTGGGAGCTTATTAAGGATTTCCCGACTAAGCCTATTCTTTGACTGACGAATGCAGGTTCGGAAAACGCGCACAGCCAAGGAAATTATGATAGCCAGAAATGCCAAAGAAAGAGCGATCAACAAGGGGACTAAGTAATATTCTATCGCTGATCCCCGATTGGGCTTCATCCGTGCCCTAAATCTAAACAAATTTGACGTAAGAGCAACTAATGCAACTTGAAATTGAACACAGAGGAAATTACTACCCCGAATCATAGAGATAGTGAGTGCGTATCGCCTCACCCGATGTACGACCGATCATGATAGAAGGAATAGTGATTTTAAGCTCTGAAAGAATACGGACTAAAGGAGACCTACTTTCATCCGATCCCATTGGAAAGACGTAATCACTTTCAACATTAACTATTATAGCACCAAAAAACTTCGCATTCTGTACAGCCGAAACCTTTTCTGCAAATGTACAATTACCACGGTCGACTAAAGCAAAAAAGACATCTGTTTCATTGGGAGGTGATTGCACAGCTGAACATGCAAGAGCAGGGTTGCTAGTCGAAATTTTGCCCTTTAAAAATAATGAAGAGAACATAGCCATACCAGGGGCGATTCGTCAGTTATCGGAGCACCAAATGTGGCTTCCGCATCATCCATCTCAATCGTTACGTTTATCTGAGGAGAAATCTAGACCAAGATAAACCAAATCAGTTGGATACCAAAATAAGAGTAGCCGACGCTATCGAAATCATACCAAATATAACTGCGATAAACAGAGACATCGACTCAACTACACATTCGACGAGTAAGCAGATGAGCCAATCAAACCTCCAAATTTAGCGATTTGAATGGTATGTGTGCATAATAAATGATTATAACATCAAACCTTAAACATCAAATTGCAAAACACACGAAGTTTAAAAAGCATTTTTATTATTAAAATTAATCATTTATTACTTTTGCAAAGTTAGCTTTAAAGATCAACAAAAGCTTAAATTTTACACCAAGTTTGATTTTAGATGTACAATAAAATTTAAATTGCAAAAACATTTAAAAAGTGCATTTTTCGTTTTGTAGACATAATTTGACAAACCCGTTAAATGAAATGTTTGTTGCGTCGGGCGACCTTTTTGCGCGGTGTCTAAATGCTTTAGCGCAGGGTGAGCTGTCTTGATTTGCCTTTGTCCTGAGGTCCATTCTTTGAGCCGCTTTTCATGCTTGTAAAATATGGCGACTTCGCTGTCTCTACATATTGAACAAATAAAGTTTGATACATTTTTACTTCCAAGATGGATCGAGACGAATTGTACAATCCTCGAAAACATAATTTACATTCAAGAATTGTATCTCGTTGCTAGCATTTTTGATGTTAGCATACCATGGAAGCTTAAGGCTAGGCGAGTGTGTCAAGTTTTGTGACAATGATCGTCAACTTACGAACACATTATGGCACAGTTCATCCTCAATCTTTTTCTTTACATACGAAAATATTCCACTGGAACCAAAACGATTCCTTCACTGTAGCGTATGCATACCTATTGCTTTTGAATTTATATCTCTGACGCATCCCCAGATACGGCGATGTTTTGTGCTTTTGCCAAAATTTTTTGACCTTAACTTACATCGTTTGTGCTATTTGCCTGCTAATACTTTTGAATCTGTCGATTCTTTGATTGCTCAAGAAGCCATATATTTCTTCTGTTTACATTTTAGCTCGTAATTCTTCGACTTGCCTCGACCATAATGGTTAAGCGACCCTCAAAAAAGGTCCATCTGGACCCAAATGATCCTAAAATAACCAGCATTAAAGGTAATTTATCTACGGGAGTATTTTTTTCCATTTCATCTGTAACTAAATATTAGAATTCTTTTAGAGTCCTCCTTGACAGCTGGACCATGTCCAATCTGTGGAACTGTGATGGCCACTCGTCACGGAATGCGTCGTCATTTTAAAATTATGCATAAACGTAATAACGTGCTTAAATTCGTTTGTGTTTGTTCGTTAAAAAAACATTTCTTTGCTTTCTAGAAGCTGAGGCTTCTGCCTGCAAAATTTGTGGCAGAAAATTTCTTACTACTTTCGCTATACAACGACATATGCGACGAGTACATCCTGATGAAATGAATGATACACCACCATTCCGAAATGTGGACGGTGACAATCCTACTGGTTGTCCTTTTTGTTTCAAGAGCTTTAGTGGTAAACAAAGTCTTGATCGTCATCTGAGGATTGTGCACCAGCGTAAGTATCTTTAAGTTGATTTTATTAATAATTATAAAAGTGGCATTTATGTTATTACTATTTTCAGATGTTGAAATCGGAATATGCCCCATTTGTGACAAAACATTTTCCAACAAGTTTGCAATGAAACGCCATCACGAAAATGTTCATGCAGGTACAATTAGGCGTTACCGCAAAATCAAGCATTTACAACTTTTATTAGATAGAATTCGTGCTCGTCCTGCCGAGAACCTAAATGCAGCTCTATAACTGTGATAAGTTTCATGGTGCCATGTAAGCACATGTATCGTGAGCTGTGTCGCAGGCTTAACTGCAATTAGTCTCACATTGTTGTGTTCGTAGAATTTATGATATTGGCTTAATGTTAATACAGGCAGATCTGTGGCAAAAGCAGCTCCACTTGATGTTGCATTTCTACATATTTCCTTGCTCACATTTTCCTCAAATTCTTTATTCCAGCTACCCGTCACATTTGCTCAAAATGCGATCTCAGCTTCCCATCTAAATTTGCGCTCATGGGACACAATCTCTCCTCCCATAACAGTGAGTTCCGCAAAGTGCATTAATGTCTACTTCCCATTCACATCACCTAACACCCACTGGCAACCACCCTCCTTGCCAATAACAACGCTTCCGCTGTTGAAGAAAATCACTGGGCACCTTCTCGAGCTGATCAAGCTTTCTCGAATTTCTATTGATTGGAACTGCTCAAGTACTCACACCTCCATTTGGATAGATCAGCTGCCAATCCTGCACCTCTATTTCTCATGTTGCACTACTGCGGATGGCCGTCAAGAACTTCCATTTTTTTTAGCCTCCAAGATTTTCGCATGTTCCCACTGTAGCCGATGCTTCCTAGACGCAAGCGAACGCAATCGTCACGTTACCCAAGATCACGCACTAAGTAAGTGACTGACTTGTAGATGTGTGGAGCAACAACCTACAGCACAACTGACGAACTAGATAGGCTTTTGCGAGCAACTTATGTCACATTTTTCAACTTTCCAGACTCCAATTCAGCCAGTTTCCAGGACGACTCTACCGAATTGTCGAACTCAGGGGTGAGCAAATTTGATCAACTCCCTGGCAGCAGTGCCTACTGGGGGATGCATGATTTTGAAGCTGCTAACTTCGTACTTTTTTAGGGCGGATTAACCAATCAATCTCCCTGAGAGAGACTTCATGTAAAATAAGGTCAATTTATGTACAAACTTATACATTTTTACTAATAGAACGTTGTTTCTGTATGAACAGGTCTTGCTTTTGACGGCATATCACGGGTGTGCTGAGTCCGGCAAAAATTTGTCGCATCCCGATGAGCTCTTTGACTACACCGTCGAACATACATTCGACAAACGCAGCACTCACGGGGTACTTTAAAACAAAAAAGGTGATTGTTAACGTCACCACTGATGATCTCCCGGCGTCTGGGTATGATTTAGCGTATAGGATAGTGATAACGAGTATGAAAATAGGCAACGAAAACGATATTCTGAAAGGGCGCACAGAGTTAAAGGGTACAGCCCAAATCAATACCAGTACAGCGTTTTCACTGAAAGATGACCAATTTCATTCGAAGGATTCTTGACTCTTTCGGACTGTCTGTCCTACTCGTCGTTTGAACTCCTCATAATCATCTCTAAACATCTTCTAAAAAGATCACATTAGGTAATGCAAATTACAGCTGCATCCACATTCGCTGGACTATCAGGATTGGGTTCAGCAAGCATCGATATGACGGACATTATAATAGTTTCCACTGTGTGCACAGGAAGCCAGCGTTCCTCGGGTCTCTCATAGCCAAATCGATCTTCACCAGGTTCGTGAAGAATTGATATACATACGCTTCCAGAAGGAGAAATGTTAGGGTGCCACATATCCGTTAGGAACTGCATTTTCGGGGGATGATTTGGATAGTCTTGGGGAAATTCCAACGTAGCTTTGAACCAACCACCGTCACTATTTATTTAAATTACCATATCCATATATAACTTACTAAAGCGTGTCAGCGGGACCCATAATGAGAACTTGCCACTTGAATATGTTATCATCATCAATGAGACCGGCAGAAAAACCCTCTGTACCACTTTTGTTCAGTTCTGAAAGGCCAATTTAAAAACGATATTCGCATTCATACACAAAAAATATTGCAATAAATCACAAGAATGGACCAGTTACCAGCTAATTGCTTTCGTAATAAAAGCGACGACGCAGAACTCGCCATGCCTAGAAGGGTATCAGGTACAGAAATGTTGCAGAGAGCGCTTTCGGAAAAAGTCATGTATATAAATATACAAAGGCACCTATATTATTTACAGATAACTCAAAAAATAACAGACCAGGCTTTAAAAATACTTCTTTTATCTTTATTTTTATTTATGTTGATTTATATATTTGTTTGCGTTGCAAACTGATTTTGCTAAAGTTCAAATTCTTCTCTTTTAGCTCCATTTTGCTTCTTCAAGAAATAATGCAGCACTTCTGCCATTTAGGTGTGCTCTAGCATCGAATCCACGGTAACAATTCTATTCTAGAATCCAACGAGAGCCCGGGTTTTAATGTAGCCTAAGGAAACCATGGTACCACTTTCAAACTGCCCACTTTTGTGATTTGACTTCAGTCTATTTGCTTTCATTACTTGTGCCATGCAATTATTATGCTCATGATAAAGAGGTGAGGGCTATAGGGACTGCACTGATGCGCACACCAGCTGAATGCCCATTGTGAAATAACCATTAAGTGTTTGAACTGGGGTTCAGTTTAAGAGAGAGGAGCTTAGCGTGCGATGCTCATTCCCTGGTGCACCTTTACTCCTTTTGATTTTACCCATTTAGAGGTGCTGTAAGTCATCGTCATGCATTGCTCTTTCTGTGAAGGCTGAGATGGAAATGGAGAAAAGTGAAGGGAAAAGGAGCCAGACTGATGTTTTGCATACTTTCAAACATACATTTTGGTGGAAAATAGTGCAAACGATCAGCACGAGACTGTAAAGTGAATCTGCAAATCTTGCAGTCCTTATTTGAGCTCATGTGCATCTCCCGACGCCCTAATTCACCATGAACTTTGAAAATTTAGTGGGGGAGTTTTGTCTTTAACCCGCGCAGAAATGCGTTTGTACACAATGTCGGACATTCTTTGCAACGTATCTTAACCGTTTGCGCGAAATGTATTGGTGTTTTACAAGGTAACAAGCTAACGAATGCAAAGTTAACCAAGAAATTGGCACGTGAGATAATTTACAGACACCAGTTATCACAAGTTAGGAGCGGAGCAAGCACGAGGATTTAGCTGTCGGGACATAGATCTGACCTACAAATTAATGGAGCAATGCGTTGATTCAGCAAAACTTTGTGGTAAAAATTGCAAAGAATTTCACCTGCTGACATAGCTGCTCTTCAGTTTAGCCAAGAAGTTTGTATTCGGATCCCGATCTTGAAGATTGATGTAGAAACGCTGCAGGCACTGGGTCACATCAACTATACGTTCAGGGTATGTGCCATTCGGTAAAGGTGCAGCCCTCAATATTTTCATTCCTAAGAGCCAAGCTCGGTTGAAACATTTTTCTCGACCACATTCAGAGATGCCAGGCAGATTCTCTGGTCCGATTTTAATATCAAAATGTTTAGGTCTAAAAGACATCAAAGAAAAGCGTGAAGTACACGATAGTCCCTATTGAGAAAGGGAAGGTTGCTCCTAACCGGAATTGGTCGGAGTCAAGTCTTTCAAATTTGGCAGGTAGTTTGAAGAATGGTTACTAACGTATCGTTTCGGTGTAAAAATCGATTAGTTAACTTACAAATCAGAAGCCTTTGTTATTCTAACTGATTCGATGTACTGATGCTCTTCTAGGTACCCTGCAAGGTCCCTTAAACGCGAATCAATCAGACCACCAAGGCGCCCTAATTCTTGGAAATTGTCTGCCACGAGCTCTAGTTTCAAAAAGTGCCTAAAATGGGAAAGAAGCGCCACATATGGTTTATTTGTTGTTATTAGTGCCCCAGCAAATTTTAGTGTCGGTTTTGCTTAGCTTTATGACTTAGTCTTGCTGCATTATGGTGCTGAAGGTGGAAGTGAGTAGATGATAAGGCGGGTGGAAATAGCACGTGCATATATTTGCCCTCCAACATTGATGAATAGGCTGTTGGATTACAAAACTCGATGTATGTTTAATCTACCTATAATCGTGACGAATGTCGTATGGTTCAAAGAGGTCTTCCCAAGTAGCTGAACCTTCAACGATTTTTTTCGTCAGATGGAAGCCTAAAGGCAGAACATTTAATGCAGAGCAAATGTCTGACAACTGTTTGCCCACCAAAAAATAAGGACTGATACAAGCATGTGAGGATTAGAGGAGGCATCTTAAATTTAAAAATGACATTCCTCCATTTTGATCCTTTTAAAGCAGACCTACCGCGATGCAATTCCTTCACTACAATGTCTCGACTAGAAGGTCTGACAGTATAAGCCGCGTTTTTATGAGGAAAAATTGGCGTTATAATTGGCATGATCTCATGTCCATTTTGTATATCGACCTGAAACATCAAACGGCGGAATTCATTGAAACTTAACTGCAACATTGGCAGCCCACAAAGGCTCTAACATATCTTTTCATCATAAATGTAGGAAAATTTTTATCACAATCATTCAGAGGTGTATAACAATAGGCTAGCTTTAATGGAGTAAAGGCAAACTCACCCTAGGATCCCACGAATATAGCCGCAATTTAGGAACCACAACAATAGGAGCGATCATAACGGGGCTGGGCCATACCCAATTTGAAAAATAAGCAAAAAATATCTTTACGAGCGTAGTAAGTCTAATTCTTGAATTTCGGTCAATCGAATTCCCTCCGCGCGGCAGAATTTGGATAAGGTTGAATGGTGTAACCGATTTCCAAGGTTGATTAGCAGCATATGAATGAGACAGCGGTCCTTCAACTGTCTCGTACCTATCTTCACCCACCTGAGCATTTATCGAAGGACTCAATAACCCATAATAGGGATAGTTCCCATTTGACTAAAAATGCATGAATTACCGTAGCTGACATTCGCAGATGCCCAAGCAAATAGTGTCGCTAGACTATTAAAGCATAACTGAAGAGGTAATACCTTCAAAAACCTCAAATAACTTACAAATCTAGTGGTATGCATGCATATGTATGCACAAAGTACAGCCCATGCCACACTGGCTGGGAACCCATACACATAATCAGAAATCAGCCGACGAGATGCCCATATTTTTATGACTTTAAGTAAATCCGTAAAGAGAGGAAAGCTGGGAACGAGATCACGAATCTTCTGAGAGAGATGAAGGCCTGACAATCCGTGGACAGAGTAATGATCGACATCGAGATAAAATAACTCCGGGTCCTCGTCGAAATTTAAAGGCGAAGGTACGTATGAAAACTTGTACCGACTCATAATTAAATCAACCTACAAATGCAAGTGCAAGGCTTAATATTTCTAATTTATTTAACAAAATATACTTTACAAAATTAGCCAAGCATTACCCACCGAGGTCCCACTAAACTTCATTTTAATCAACGGCACAAAAGTGTCTGTAATAACCAAAAGATCTTGGATGTTTTGATTGTTACGCAACACTTCTGCGAATGAGGTAAAAAAGTCCTCACGATATACGAAATTAGGGGTAATCAAAACTGCGTCGAGATCGCTTTTCTTGAAACTAACTCCCAAACTTGTGGACCCCTGAATTAGTACATCACAGGGTAACTTTGATGGTGACTTATCCAAAACTATATCCTAAACAAAATTAAATTTAGAGCATGGAATAACTACCCGCTTTTTCGACAACTCTAGTATCCATTTAGTCGCGATAGCCTTTAGCATTTGAATGTGTTTATTTCTAAAAATTAACAAATCGAAAAGCAAAACTTTTGTATGAGTGACTCCGTTGATTCAACAATATCTTGGTGAATTAGAAATTTTGCTAAACTTTCGTCCATTTTGACTAATAGATCGAAAAACCGTAACGAAATTAAAAACCAAAGCTGAAATGACCTTGGTGGTTGACCACTGATCAAGACCTCTAAAACAACAAGTCACAAACGTCATAACTACGTTTTTAAATGCGTTTATAAACATTCATTTTGTGCCAATTCATATTGTTTTCTAAGTAAATTTTGAACACTTAAACCGGATAAAGCTATTTGTGCTCCGCGAACATCCAGATATTCTGACAGCCCTCCAAATTGTTCCAAACGCCAAGTCGCCTCACAACCGTTATCGTGAGATCAATCGATGCGGTCAGACCTATGCACCAGCGCGCGCTACTAACACGTCAAGTACAGCCTTACGGAAGCTAAATATGCCAGAACTCGAACAACCCAACCCTCCCACATCTTACACGTACTGCCTGCCTCTAATCGACATGCCCGACTTAGCGAGCTTTCCAAAGATGTTACGGGGTGCACATAAAATACACTGGGACGATATCACGACTCTCCACCCCACCTCTCCCTCCTCGGACGTAAATAGAAACACCTATAGGACCACTCAACAGTAATATTGAAAGTATCACACCGCACAGAGCAATATTCATGAAGTAAACAGATATACACGACAATGTTTTACGCACTGCCTGAGCAAAAAATGTATCCAGATTTAAAAAATTCTCGTTTAGCGGTCATTGAATGATCGAGGAACAGACAAATTTATAGACACACAGAGGCACAAAAAGTATTAAAGCTTTTTACAACGGAGAATAGAGAATACCACCCAGATATAACGCCCAGGTGAATGTAACAATTGATCCCTCCAATGTCAACGAGTGACCGTCTCGCACACACCGGGCTAGCATTTTCATAGTTTCATCAAGCAAAAGCACAGGGAAAGATATCTTCAAAACCATCGCCCATTCGGCCAGACTGAGAGGGGATATTTGAAAAACATTCTACAATGAATAGACAAATGTATAGTCCTACTTTGGAACTGGAATCCACCTTCAGATAGTAAAAAATGACTATGTCAGTCCAGGTACTTGACAATTCAACGAACTTACTGCCAAGATAGGAACATTAAGGATGGTAAAGTGTTGAACTATGCTGAATGCAATTGCAATAAGGAGCCATATATTCCTCCACGGCGGCATCACGACAAGCGATTGATTTTCTGAAAGGCTTATTAAAAACAGCAGTTGACCTCCAACCCTATTTTATAGCACTTCAGCAGCATTATTTCAAGTAAAAATCAATACACAGATTAAAACATCTGAAAAAGCCATAGAGGGTTCAAATTGAAGGGCAAAATAAGGATCACAAACTGGCACTATACGCAATGATCATATGAATCGAGCGAAGAGATCTGTGGATAAAACACACCTGTTAAGAGCGTTCAACATTTCGATCACAACAAGAACAGAAAGTGCTAAAGTCATGGGTTTTGAGCTGGAGAAAACTGAACAGGGAACACCTTTGAAGTTAACTTCATCAACTGAGCATTTGAGGTGGTGAGTCTGAAAGAGGTAGAACTAGTAAGACTAAGGTCATTAGAATAAGCCTTATAAATGCACAATTACTCACCAGTTGATGGTAAGAAACGCGCGGACCAGCGGGATTGAATAGAAACCACCAAGCAGAAGCACCAACAGTTGCAGCACCGACATAACTACCGACGACGAGGTAGCGGAAGAAAAGCCATCCACTGATGAGAGGCTCCTTAGAGTTACGTGGAGGCCGTTCCATTATATCAACGTCAGGTGGATTGAAGCCTAGTGCTGTGGCCGGAAGTCCGTCAGTTACCAGATTTACCCATAGCAGTTGTACAGGGACCAAAGCCTCAGGAAGACCGAGGGCAGCAGTCAGGAAAATACAGACAACTAAAAATGGAAGAATGCAGGATCTTCTAGCCCATGGAAACTGATATTTCCACACAAGCAGTATCCCATGACCGACATACACAAAATGTGTTAGCTCAACAGATCATCACCAGTCTCAACAAGTCATGACGGAGGAACCTTGAAGCAGGAGCAAAGTCTTTAATTTTTGACAAATATACCAAGTTCAAGTTATTAAAACAGTTACAAACGGCAACCGAAAACAGAGCAGAGCATAAAACATTTGTTGTAAACATACCACCAGGCAAGACGAACGAATCATTTAGACTGGAAGAAGTTTCAGAAATACGTGAATCGAATGGCACCGATTATAAACGTTAATTATAATATAAGCTAAATAAAAATCATAAAACACGTAAATTCGACGACATTATCTGGTGAAACCAAATTAACAATGTTGGAAAGAATAGATTTCTTTGAGAATTTGGACCGATATGAAGCTTTAATAATGAAGTAGACGCATGGAAGTGTAAAAACGGGAAGTTTAGTGGTCCAAAAAATCAGAAAGCAAGGATCCCAAAAAGAACGATGACGAGAAGGCATGAGGTAATATAAACAAGCGACACTTATTTATATAATTCAAATAAAAACTTTAGGGTCATTCGAAGTCCGAATTCTATGTGCCTCGAAACCTGCACGAGTGGGATGCAATTCAGAGATACCAAAATAGCTTAAAAACTCGGGAGGAAACAGTCTTAATCGCGTACCTTCACCAATATTGGAGGAGATGAGGTAGCGGATGAATTGCTTCATGTTGTTGTAAATCGCACGACCCTCCTCAACGGCAGCCACAATAGTGGAGAAATTGTCATCAGCGAGAATCATTTCCGAAGCCAATTTGGCAACAGCCGTTCCACTGCCCATGGCAATACCAATCTCAGCTTTCCTCAGTGCGGGTGCATCATTTACTCCGTCACCAGTCTAGTAGCAAAAAGTTTACAAGGCATGAAATGAATTCAGTCTACTGTGGCCAGAATCCAGTATGGTGATCGCACCGAAAGTCTACCAGTAAAGTCGCACATGACAGGAAGGAAGAGGTTAGTTACAGGGTGGTTACCCAAGCACTTTATGAGGAAGGGTGAGTAGATAAATATGATGAATGCTACAGCAAGGACAAACACTGCAAGAGGTGAGGAAGTGTCACATGCATTTCAAGTTAGATCGTGATCGGAAAAAATGGAAAGTAAGGGATATCGGACATTATCGAGCCGATTGGTGGGAAGTAAGTACTTACCATAGCCGAGACTTCACCGTCAGCCTGAAGGAATGCCACAATTTTGCTCTTATGTGCCGGCTCAACGCGGGCAAAGAGCTTGGCCTTGCGAACGGCAGCTGCCATTTCCTTGGGGGTGAGATCGTCAAATTCACGTCCAGTAAAGGATTTCCCTTCAATCTCCTCATGCTCTTCAAATAGGCCAATCTTGCGGCATATGGATTCAGCAGTAGCCTTGTTATCACCGGTGATTACTATAACTCTTATGCCGGCACGTTTACATAATCTAATACTCTCCGCGACCTCAGACCGGGGAGGATCAAGCATTCCAACAACACCGATTAAAGTCATGTTTGTCTAAAAACCGAATGCTTCGGACACTCAGAGATGATACAGATGACAACATCTGCGTCATAATACTCAAGTCATATTTGACAGAAATAAATAACGAACAAACCTCATAGTCTCTGAATGCGGAAGTGTCATCCAATTTAAATTCGGAAATAGGTGGTGGTTCGTCAACAGTTGCAAGAGCCAAGCATCGCATAGTTTCTCGACCAGTGGCATAGGTAGCCAACTTAGAGAGAATTTCATTCTTCATTTCTACAGTTAAGGGGAGCGTATTGTTTGGACTTCGAATCTGGGTACAACGATCGAGAATGGACTCTGGAGCACCCTAAAAGAAGAGTATCATGTAAAAAAAATGCAGAAAACTAAATGAACACAAGACACTTTTCGGAAAAGGACTGATTTGATCAAACATCCACCACAATTCGCTAACGGCCTAAACATCCGAAAAACTTAGTGATTCCTCTTCTTCAACATAAAACTATCCCAACGATGACCCCATGAGTAGAGAACTCTTTGCTATGGTTAATTCAATGATCCACATTCACAAATTCGAAGAACTGAAGTTTAGCCAAAGAAATGAAACTGAAGTACCAGAGTAGTTCCACAACTCCACATAAGATACCGAAAATGGACACGAACGCTAGGAGACTGAGTGCCATGTTTCAGATCCTGTTATAAATGACAGAAGGAAGCACAAAGCTGAAGCCTTTGCTAACGGAAAATGTTCAACAAAATGGTGATAACCAAATTTTAAAAATGCGTGCCTTCAAGGAGCATAAAACCTCTCGTTACGGCCGAATCGTAGTTCAGAATGACAGTTTCGGATGTGGGTTTAACAAGAAACTGATTGACTTAAGCACCACCTACACTCATTTCCTTGTATTGAAAGTCAAGGAAGCTCACATTTATATTAGTCAGATGTTTGTTTGCGAACAGCATCGATCAATAAAAAAACTTACTAGGTAAGCAAACAAAACTAAACATGTGGAATAGAAAAGCACTTGAGTGACTAAGGGTGATTGGCATTCCGATGGACAAGGTGGAGTAACCTGATCTGTGAAGCAGACGTTGAAAAGGTTACATAAACTATCTCGAAACGTCATCTGTCGCGAGAGCGAGAGAAGGCACTTTTGTGCATTTACGATATCAAGCATCGAGCAAAATGCCATATCAGCTGTTGCCGGTAGTAATACAGACAAGCTATGCCATCATAGTTGGAGACAAACGCAATAAAGTTCGACCATCAAAGCATGAAGAGGAGACTCACAATACTCTGTGCAATTACGCAATCACAATTTGTGACTGATAAAACCTTCAGAAAATGAATCAAGGCATGAATACCACGTGCACAAGAGGACAATATTTAGGGCAATACTTCGACGCAACTTCAACGGTGAAGTATTACTTGTCAGTTTAAATACCATAGTTCGTCACAAACAAAACTAGCTGGAAGCCACAAAACGCCACCTTCAAAATCGCACAAAGAATACCTTAACAAACAATTTTCCCGAGCCTAGGATGTCGCTCCGCTTTGTGACGTAGACGGACATGGATTTACGATCACGAGAGAATTCCATGGTAAATTCCTTCTTGAACGTATTCTATGTTCAGAGGGATAACAGAAGAAATGTGAGCACAAAGCGTAAAGAAATTAATTTTTACCGCACATACCTAACACGCAAGCCCAAGCTCAAATCTTGTTTATCTGGCTCAAATAAAATCATGATCTCACCGTAATGGCATGGTTGCAGGCCATAGCCAGTTCTCGCTTACTCAAACCCGACTTGTCCACACCAGTAACATTCATCTTCTCAACTAGGCAGGTGAGCGCCGCTTCAGTGGCCTCGCCAACCTTTTCAAAAGCTTTTCTCGCAGTGTTGTACTCGAGTGATGAGTCATTACATAGCGCACAGATGTTGGCCAACTCGACCAAGCACGGATTCAAAGCACAGTCATACTTTTCGCCTAGTTTCAGCCTATAAGTTTTACAGAACGTTAGCATAAGACTGAACGCCGTTCCTTAGACAGAAAACTGAACAATGAATGTGCATCAACTCTAACTAGACAAAAAGAAGATAATAATAAAAAAAATAGTTACATACACTTCCCCTTCTGGAGCGTATTTAGAACCAGTGACCTCGTATTCATCAAATCTAACGCTGGCTTTCAGATCTCCTGCCGCATTTTGAATGGAGTTCGCGTCAGCGAAGGTAAACATCCGACAAACAGTCATTTGATTAGTGGTGAGAGTACCAGTCTTATCGGAGCAAATTACGCTAGTGCAACCCAAAGTCTCGACTGAAGGCAGAGAGCGTACTATGGCATTTTTGCGGGCCATGCGGCGGGTACCCAAGGCAAGACAAGTGGTTATCACAGCAGGCAAACCTTCAGGTATTGCCGCGACAGCCAAGGCCACAGCAATCTTGAAGTAGTAAATAGCACCACGAAGCCAAGATCCGCCGTGAGCAGGATCACTGAAGTGACCGATGTTGATTATCCACACAGCAACACAGATAACAGTGATGACCTAGGGAATCGAACGGAAAGACATGAATTACTCCCAAAAGGCTCTCAAAATTAAACATGGAAAGCACACCTTCGACAACTGCTCGCCAAATTCGTCCAACTTCTGAGTAAGTGGAGTCTTTTCCTGATCCGTTTCCATTATTTGATTCCGAATTTTACCAATTTCGGTATTAAGACCTGTCGCCACAACAATACCACGACATCTTCCTGACGCTATGTTTGTACCGCTAAACAAAAGATTTTTCTTGTCTTGATTAACGGCACCAGTATCAGAAATGGCCTCCGTGAATTTAACAACAGACACGGATTCCCCAGTCAATATCGATTGATCAACACGCAAATTGCTGCTACATATCTCAATTATCCGAATGTCCGCTGGAACCTTATCCCCAACTGAATGGCAGAGATGAATCAGACGCAACCACCGTGAATATACCTGATACTTCAACAACGTCCCCAGGAACTATATACTTTGCTTTTATGACCTGAATACCCTTGTGGTTTTGTCGAATGACCTTGGCAATATCAGATTCATACTCTCTAAGAGCTTCGATTGCCGATTCGGCATCCCGTTCCTGCCAAACACCAACAATCGCATTTAGAATAAGGATCAAAAGGATCACAAAAGGTTCGACAAAAGCTGTTGCAGAGTCTTCCGCATCCTCGAACAAAGCCAAAACCTGATATTAAACGTGATTAGGTGGTAATAGAGAAGTTACGAAGGATATAAGAGCAGCGACTAGTAATATCTTCACCAATAAGTCATCAAATTGTTCTAAAACAAGTTTCCACAGTGACTTGCCTTCATCGCGTGGTAGTTCTAGCAAATAGAAGGAGAAGTTCAAGTCAAACCATTCAATCCAAATTTCTCTAATTTACTTTCAACTTGTTCATTGCTTAATCCTTCCTCTGGAGACACGTCAAAAGCTTTTAATATATCATCAATCGTCTTCGTATGGTACATATCAGCCACAAAAGTAACAAATGTCTACACTGCACAGGAAGGACACCGAGAAAATCAACCACTCGTGTTCTAATTAGAATGGCTGCCATGTTCAACCAATCACTTTATGACAGAATATTAGGGGTAACTTGTAAACATTTATTAAATAAAAAGTGCCAAAAAAGCTCATGTAATTAAAAGCATCACAAATCGAATTAGGCCAGGGTAATGACAAGTTGTAGCTGATCGCAATTTGATTTCGTATTTATTTCTTTCCGTGAATGTAACATTAAAAGCAAAATTAAAAATAATAATAAAAAAATACATTTTTATAGTTATTGTTTTTATTGTCTGCAATATAATGCACAAGCGCGAGGCGCATTCATTAATGTTTCGAGTATTCTATTTCAGACATGGGAGTAAATGGACTGCTACCATTTTTAAAAAAATGCAGTCGCCGTGTTAATATTAGGGATTTTAAAGGCTACACAGTAGCAGTCGATGCATACTGTTGGATTCATAGAGCGTCGTACTCCTGTGCAATGGATATTGCCCTTGGAAACCCAACTTCACAGTAATTGTTTTCCTTTATAATTATTCTAGGTATGTAAATTATTGTCTTAGGTATTTGAAGATGATTCTTGAAGCAGGTGTGAGACCCCTTTTAGTCTTCGATGGTGCAAATCTTCCCGCGAAGGCTGAGACAGAAGCTAAGCGCCGCAGGCATTTAACTTTAAAAACTTGAGTTTGGTTTAGATCCAGGAAAATGTATAGGGAGAGAGCGGCTCAATGTCTTCTTGCGGGGGATCAGAAAGCCGCTCAAGAGTGTTTCGAAAGAAGCATTGATATTACTCCAGGAATGGCTCGAGCTGTGATCAATGTAGATATTCCTCTGATTTTTACTAACGCGAGCGGTTATCCAGGCTGCCCGAAATCTTGGTATTGATTGTATCATAGCACCGTACGAGTCGGATGCTCAGTTGGCCTACCTAGTTAAGTCTGGCTATGCTGATCTCGTGATTACTGAAGATTCGGATCTTCTATTGTTTGGCTGCAAACAGGTTTGTTCCTAAGTTATTTTCTGGGCTGCCATAACGATTCCTGTTTGGGGTATTTTATCCTTTAGGTTATTTTTAAACTCGACTTAACAGGATCTGGAACTTTAATTGCATGGAGCGCAGGTATTGGTGAGAAGTGTTGTGGCATAGCGTCACAAGAATTTTCACCTGCTAATCTGCGTTTCATGGGGATACTTTCTGGATGTGACTACTTTCCTGGCATTCCCAGGATTGGTCTTGCTACCGCTGCAAAAGTGAGTGTTTTGGCGCTTAATCAACTTAAATGCAGTTTTGAAGTGATCCACTTTTCTTTTGAATTTGGTTCTGTTTGGCGTTCTCCATTACTATACAGATAATGCGTCAGTGTCGTACTGCGGATTTTCGATACATTCTCCTTAACCTCGGGAAGTTT